TTCAGCAGAATAAATCCTCGAGGGTGATCCCAGAGGCTGTGCTCCCTCCCCAGGGACTGTCCTCCGAGCCCGCGCACTGAAGTCAGGCTTTGATGTCCAGCTTCCACTCAGTGAGGAGAAACCAAGGCCAATTTCTTGCCCGACGAGCTGCCCAGTGCCTCCAGCAGCAGAAAGACTCCCAGGGCTGAACAGGTCACCACGGGTGTTAGGTCGTTTCACCTCTCCATCTGCTCCCTCTGTGTCACCTCAACGAGCTTCTGCCCAGGGTGACCGAGCCGCATCAACATCCATCCCACCGTGGCTGGCTATGCTGGCCCCCCCATCGCTCCCTCCTCAGCTGGGACATGCCCTGCTGCTTCCAACGCTGAAACCACCGGAGTCCCCAGGTCCCCGAGCAGAGCTTCCCTTGGGCACAGGGACAGCAGACACTGATGGGGACAATGAAGACGACCACAATGAAGATGACCTCAGGTCTCCCCATCCCTGCTATTGTGCAGAGAGCTGCTGCAGGCTCTGCCCAGAGGTGCACGCATTTCTCCACTGGTGCCAACACCTCGAGACGTTCAGCCAACTGCAAGGGGTGGCTGATGTGCCGTTATCACCCCCCCTGCCTCTGCCTGTCACCTCTTCTCTCACCCACCTCCACTGGGGGATCAGACACGTTGTCCTTTGCCGCTGCCTTCACTGCTGAAACACCCAGCACGGGTTCCGGTGCTGCCTCCTCTCCTCTGGCTGTTTGCCATGACGGGCTGAGCCCGCTGCCGGGGCTGGCAGGAGGGAGGACAGTGTTTCAGCCCTCCGAGGGAGGAAAAGGAGCTGTGGCATGGAGGAAAAGAGGGGCTGGAGGCTTTTCTGTGCCATGTAAAGAGCATAATGAGGACACCGTTCATGTGGAAACATCTTTAATCTGGAAAGCTCCTGCCAAGGGGCCAAGCATACGCCCAGAGCTCCCCAGCTGGGGCAAGGACCGAGGCAGCTCTCCTGGCTGGGGACAGGTAAAACCAGGGCGAGAAAAACCAGAAGAGATGCTAACACTGTCCCACGTAGGCTGACCCAGCCCCAGAGCCTGGGCTGGGGACCCAGCTCTTGCCTGGGGACAGTGGAACCCCCCCGGTCTGGACTTTTGGGGGCTGATGATGGGTCACCGCAGTGACACTCAACCTCCTGGCTGAGCCTACCTGGGGAGAGACAAAATCCTGGGGAGCTACAACCTCTGCGTGCGAGAACTGGTGAGGCTCAGGCTAAGCTAACATCCCAGTCGCTATTTTTCCAGTGGGACACGGTCCCTTGAGTCCTGCCCAGGTGGCCCACAGCCTTGTCACAGGTACGTGATCTCGATGACATTGGGCTCAGTGCTCCCGCAGGGAAGGTGATGCTTGCAGGAGCACCGGTAGCTCACGCCAGCCGCGTCCATGCCGGCCAGCTCCCACTGGCAGGGCTGGGCAGGCAGCTTCTTCTGGGAGCCCAGCTTCTTCCAGTCTGTGAGGTGCACCCCGTCATCCAGGTCCTGCGGCATGGGCTCGTGGTAGAGGGTGATCTGGATGGTGCGGAGGTGAGGACCGTAGTGCACCACGATGACGATGAAGACAGCCAAGAGGACGAAGATGACGACGATCACTGAGATCATGGGCAGGGCATCCGATTTCTTCGTCACGCTCCTGACGACAGAGATGGGAGTGAAGGCGGCTGCATCCTGGGGCTCGGGCTGTCTCAGTTGGCTGCCGGGTGCGGAGGTGTTCATGGCTGAGCAGGCTGACCTGGGACAGAGAAACGCGGGGTGGAAAGGGGTGACCACGGAGCAGAGGCCGTCCGATGTCCTTATCTCCTGCCCTCGAGTCAGCAGCTCCTGCCTGCACTTGAAGCTGCCGGGGAATGGGACAGTCCCGTAAGTGCTCCCTCCCTCGCAGGACAGGATAAATTTTATGGTTATAAAATGGTTATATTTGGGGTTGTAGGACAGTGCCTCGGACACGTTCAGCCGGGGAGGCAATGCTCTGCATCCCCTTGTCCTGGACACCTTCGGCGTGGGGCTCTTCCCTTCCTCTTCCCTCTTCATCTCCCTGCTGGGGAGCCCTCCACCTTCCCCTCTTCGCCCCCAGCCCCACAGTCCTAATTCAAGACCAAATCCCATGGGGACCTCCCTGGGAGACCCACCCCCGCCGAAACACACCGCGAGGCATCCCT